CTGCTGTCTAATTCAGGCATTTCCTGGAAAGAGCACACTCCTGTGCTCCACCCCACACATAAAAAACCCAACAAACAAGAAAGTTGGGCGTAGGCTGAAGGCAAAAGTCATAATTTTATGCCCACCTCTGGCTCGCAATAGATCACAGCGCTGCCACAGGTAGGTCAGTTCAGCTGGCTGTTCTGATGGAAAATTAACTGTTTGCCATCCCCCTGCCTGTTCAATCTGTCATGTCAGTCTGCTGAACTCGTTTGCCTGTTGCTGGAGGGTTACAGTCGTGGCACCAGCGAGGAGACAGCAGCTCAGTTAACCTGGCTGAAACGCACAACTGGTGCATGCTGGTGTGGCTGTGGAGCTGGTGCTGGCTGGGCTTGAGTGATGTGGCTGCCAGAAGCGGTTGTGCCTCGTCCTGCCTGTTTCTCTTGTGCTGCTGTTAGCATTTGTGTGGGCAGTGCATGAGTTGGATTAGTTTGCTGATCCAGCCAAAAGCTAACCCTGAAGAAGAAAAAAAATAAAAATTAAAAAAAAAAAAAGTTTTCTACACTGAACCGCACAAATGCTAGAGCTGGCAGGAGAGGGAGCCAGGAATGTGACTGGAAGGAGGAGGGCAGTTCTGCCTCTCCTGGCAACAGTCCCCCTGCTTGGTCAGCTTAGAGGTATTAATCATGATAAAATCTGAGTGTCTGCAGGGGGCCAGCCAATCATTAATTAAAAAATGGAAGCATGCCTGTATGATGGTGTGGACACATACTTAGAAGTTTGAATGGTTCAAAAAGTTGCAATGATCTGGAATTCAAGGAAGAGAAAGCTGCAACCTCAGGCCTGGGTGTGGGCAGAGACTCAAATGACCTGTGACCATGTATGTACGGTCCTAGGCATTAAGGCATTGCTTGTGAATGTGTTTTTAAGGTCTTGCTTGACATTTGGCAAGAGAAGTGATCTCTGCTCCCAGAGTCAAATAACATGAACCTGGTTTTGTCACCATGAATCATACGACGCTGATGCAGGGGAAGCAACAGTCCTGCAGCAAACACTGTCCAGCCTTTCCTGCAGTGCTTCAGGCAGCCTTTGCTGTGTTTTAAGTCGTAACCTAATGTAAAAATGCATCTTTGAGTTCTGGGTGCTTAACCGTAAAGCACAGCTTCAGTGCAAGAGTATTGATAGCAGTGCTGGCCGAGTCCCTCTCTTCCCCTGAGATTAATGAGTTGAGCATTAACCACCTGGCTTGGGAAAAGGGTGATAATTACTCTTTTAAATAGGTGTTTAAAAAGGAGGAAACTTTTCGTTTGAAATGCTACCCTATCTATGTTTAACAGAGGCTTTTTGAGGCAGATTGCTGTAGTATAGAACAGT